ATTTAGAAAAAGAAAGACATCTTGTGCAGACAAATTGTGGCAATGTTGTAATAGGAAGGGCTGGAGGCACAGGAACAGAAGTCAGACTAATGTCTGAACAAGAAAAAAGGGAAGAGAAATAGGACACATTTAATTTAAATAGGAATAGATAGTGTGGGCCTGTTTGTATATACTAAAGGGACAGAAATTAGATATGATTAAAAACATCATAGAAAAAAGGAAAAGAAGATATAAATCAGAATTTGTCAAGAGCATTGATACAGACAATGGAAAGTAAGATCCATAGTTGAGTGGCCAAAGGACATAAGAAGGAGTATAGAAGCAATCTATCTATCAATGTAATCAATCTAATCTACAAGCATTCTAGTAACAGTGCAGGTTAGTTATTGTTACTGGTATAAAGTTGTAGGAAATTAAACAAAAATGGAACTGGCATCATCACTTCTATAAAGAGTGGGTCTGGGAAACAAATAATCCTTTGTTGATTAATGTAGAGCTGTATTGATAAAGGTAATTGTATAGAGGTTAGGAATCTGTAACACATTTTATTTAGTACTAAGGGTGATTCTGATTAGTGTGATCAACATGATCACACATTAAATTGACAGAAAATTGAATGATTGATAGATGCCCAGCAGATAACTAGAAACCATAACTGGATATGAGAAGGTTGCTTAGGGATTATGAGAAAGCTGGACACATGTCAATATTTACCTCTCTCTGGAATTAAGATTTTCACTGCTCAAACCTATGGATAACTCAAAGACTGATTGGATGCATTGAAAGCAAAAGAGTAACATAGAGTCAGCTGAGTAGCATAAGAAGTTGAGCTCATTCACTCAATGTGTGAAAATAACTGGAACAAGGAGTGCAGATCAGCACCACTGAACCAGGAACTGTATCCCAGAAAGCAGCATCCCAAGGGGGGACACCTTGTCAGTGGAAATATGTCATATTTCGACTCTCTCAGTCTGCCCCACCAATGTTCAAGGGCCTCATTGAGAGCAGTCTAGGCTAAATTTCCTTATCTAGCAATTGGGGTGGTGGGTGACAATGACAGATAACAATGTCAGAGCCCTGGCAGAGGCTGCCCAGGGAGGCTGTGGAGTCTCCTTCTCTGGAGATCTTCCAAACCCGCCTGGCTGCCACCCTGTGCCCCGTGCTCCGGGTGTCCCTGCTGGAGCAGGGGGTTGSACTGGGTGATCTCTAGAGATCCCTTCCAACCTCAACCATTCTGTGATTCTGTGGGGCATGCTAAGAGGAGTCATCCCTGCTTTCTTGCTTTGTTTCCATCTTGTAAGCTCTTTATGGCACTCAACACAGTGGAGTGATATAGACTGTTACAGATAAAAAGCTGTCTCCTGGTCCCACTCAATCCGTCTCCAGCAATGCAGACATGACACAAATTCCAGGATTCAAGAATTTTTGGCCTCTTTGTAGGTTTATGCGTGTATTTCATCGCTAACAGSTCAATGTGGTAGTCACGTACAGCCTTCCCCCATACTCCTCCCCCACTGCTGGTGTGTGAGGAGAAATAATTCTCACTGTGGCTGCAAAAGATAACAAAAAATCTCAGTAATGCATGAACCAGGCACCCCCCACACACACCTTTAAAGCCCATGTGTGCTAACAAACTATGACTTTCTGATGTAGGATGGTCTCTCAGGTGACCTTGAAAACCACCTGGCATATGGATCACTGCTCTGTTGCATAATTTCATAGACATGATTTACAGCAGAGGAGGATTGGCAGCGCTTGGGCAGTGCTGTTGTAAATTGAACTCATGTGTCTCAGTGGGGGGGAGTGAGGCTTTTTTTTTTTTTTTTTTATTTATTTTTTGCATGCTGGAGCCTGGAAGAAACAAGCTATTTGCTGATTATAGTGATCTAAGCTGTACCCATGTTATTCTCAGTTACATAATGTATTTGATTACTAACATTCTGGAAATCGCAGACTCTTCTGGCGCAGAAGACTCTCCTCTCTAATGCAGCAGTATGAACATTGTTGTCATCTGAAAAAAGACTTCAGCAGGCTTGCAATTTATAAAACAGTTGTCCTCTTCCCTTAAATTCTCTTTCTTCTGTGTTTTTCACAGCTGCAGCTMGAGCAAGTGTCAGAAAGCCCCAATCAAAGTGTCGTTCTGTTGCCTTCAGTATTAAGTATGTTCCTGTTGACAGTAACTGCTGTGATACTCAGGAGCCCAAGCTCCAGATTCCCACTGAGCTAGGAACTGTCCAAGCCCAGAAAGCGACAAGCTTTGCCTTGGGATTTTAGAGCTGAAGTATATCTAATAGCTAGGCATGAGAGATACAACTACAAGGAAATATATTTGATAAAGTAAGGGAAGAAATACAAATAAGAGAGTATTAATGAATGTGKCAGTGTGTCCTTAGCACATGAGCAGATTAACTTCTTTATCATCCTTTTAGGGAGGGATAATCCTGGTTTACAGACTTATGGAAAAAGATGTAAGCTCTTTGAATGCACTGGCCATTTTCATCTCTGCACTGTGTTACCGTTGTGGCTAAGAAGTAGAAAGAAGAGCAAGGAAGCTGCTTGGCAGGTGGGAACAGGGAGCAGCAGGGAGGTCCTGTCTGAAGGCTGGCAAAGAGGAGTGTTTGGATGCAGGAAGGTGGTAACAGAGTAAAGGCTGTAGAATAATACTCATTATTATACTGTCTCTGCTTAGGGGCCTCCCAGTTCAAGCGAGCTGTGGGGCAAACAAAAAAATCCAAGATAGCCTCGGCCTAGAGCATACGATTTAGGAGAGTTTGAGGCTGCTGGATGGATTTAGTTGGAAGAAGGGGAGGCTGAAGACCAATCTAATAACTCTCTAATAACTGCTTGCAGTGGAYTCCTAAATAAATGAAAGCTATGGAGCAATCCCTGGCTCCAAAGCCAAGTTACACAGAGAACCTGCTATCTCCACTGCTTTCAACTTCTGGAGCAGACTGGGTGCATATGAACCACATAGCACTGAGCCCTGTGTCTTATCTGGACTCCATACAATGCTTCTGTGGCCACAGGACTTGACTACTGTTTGTAGGAGATTTGTTTTCAGTCCAAAATATCTGTAATAATGTGAAGGATGTTTTACAGCCCATGGTGTGCTTTGCATGTCCTGAAGTGTGGCTGAAGGTCTGAGGGTGCAAAGCACACTGTGGTGGTTTTGAAGGACTGTGTAGAGTAGCAGGAGACAAATATGGTGCATCATGTCCATATTTTGTTTTTGGAAGGGCCCTTTTTTTGGACTGTCCACATGGCCAGCATCTTGGAGAGAAGTGGTTGGAGTTGTTCAGAACAGAACCGGAAGAGGGCCAACAGAAAGCACCACCACCCGAGCTGTACCAGACATTCTAGACAGACCTAGTATTTTAGACATCACAGAATCACAGAATCACAGAATATTTAAGGTTGGAAGGGACCTCTAGAGATCATCTAGTCCAACCTTCCTGCTCAAGCAGGCACACCTAGAGCACGGGGCACAGGGCGGCATCCAGGCGGGTTTTGAAGACCTCCAGAGTAGGAGACTCCACAACCTCCCTGGGCAGCCTGTGCCAGGGCTCTGTCACCCTAACAGTAAAGAAGTTCCTCCTCACCTGGAGACGGAACTTCCTGTGCTCCAGCTTATGGCCATTACCCCTCATCCTATCGCTGGCCACCAGTGAAAACAGCTTGTCCCCTTCCTCCCTGCATTCTCCCTTCCTGAACTTATACACATTAATCATATCCCCTCTGAGCCGTCTCTTCTCCAGAGAAAACAGGCCCAGCTCACTCAGCCTCTCTTCGTATGAGAGATGTTCCATTCCCTTAATCATCCTGGTTGCCCTGGTCCCATGCCTGGACCCTCTCGAGAAGCTCCACGTCCCTCTTGTACTGGGGAGCCCAGAACTGAACACAGTACTCCAGGTGCGGCCACACCAGAGCTGAGCAGAGGGGCAGGATCCCCTCCCTTGACCTGCTGGCAGCACTGCTCCTGATGCAGCCAGGATCCCATTGGCCTTCTGGGCCATGAGGGCACACTGCTGACTCATGGTTAACTTGGTGTCAACCAGGACTCCCCGGTCCCTCTCCGTGGAGGTGCTTTCCAGCAGGTCGACCCCTAATCTGTACTGATGCCTGGGGTTATTCCTCCCCAGGCGCAGGACCCTGCACTTGTCCTTATTGTACCTCATGAGGTTCCTCTCTGCCCAACTCACCAGCCTGTCCAGGTCCCTCTGGATGGCAGCACAGCCCTCTGGAGTGTTGGCCACTCCACCCAGCTTGGTGTCATCTGCAAACTTGGTCAGGGTGCACTCCGTGCCCTCGTCCAGGTCATTGATGAACAAATTGAAGAGCACCGAGCCCAGTACTGACCCCCAGGGAACACCACTGGCCACAGGCCTCCAACTGGACTCGGCCCCATTTATCACCACCCTCTGAGCTCTGCCATCCAGCCAGCCCTCGATCCACCACACCGTGCACTCGTCTAGTCCACAAGACATGTCCTAAATATCTTTCTTTACCCATCTGCATTAAGGCATAGTGCCCCAGCATCACTAGCAACATCTTTCCAGGTTGGTTGAGGGTGTCAGGTTGAGAACTAGCCCAGGAGGTGGGCAACCTGTTTAGGTCTCCCAGCAATTTACCCAGCCTTAGGCTTGAACTGCAATCAGCAAAGCGGGGCCTTGCTCTCAAGTACCACCTCTGTGATAAAGCTTTGATGCCTCTACGAATGTCTTTGCAAGCTTTGGGTAGAAGTGAAGTACCAAGGCTCGTAAACTGATCCCCTCTCACCATCACTCTGCTGTTTTTGGTTCTGCAGCATTTTGAGTGAGCTGCAAAGGCCCCTCGTGGCCGGGGGCCCTGCGTGTCCGCACACCAAGGCATCACGAGGAGGCCTCAGGCCTCAGGCTGCGTCTCCTGCTGGTGCCAGAGACTTTCCAGGAGAAGCCTGGGAAGAGACCGCTCCTCTCCCAGAATGGCTGGCAAAGGAGATGCTGAAAAGGCAGCAGAGAAGTTACTCGGTAGGCCTCGTGGAAAATATATCAGAGAACATGAAAGTTCAGCGTCACTTCAACCCTGCAAAGAGCCTCTCAAAAGGAAAGGTATTGTGGACATTACAGGGTGCATCCCTYGGCCTCTCACTGTCCCTGTTGTGAGCAGGATTGGACCAAGAGCAGCCAGGCAGCCAGACACAGAGCTGACAGYAGCTCTTTGGGTGAACGTGTTTACAGTGACATGTAAGGGACTGGTGAGGGCAAGCTGAGCTAGAGGGCTGCCTATTCAAAGGGGAAGATGGGAGTGAGCCACCCAAAAAAATATGAGAGTGGCTATGCAATTCAAACTTGATATAGTCCTGGTATTGGCTCTGCAGCAGATCCAGAGACACAGAAACCAAACTCTTTTTTTATCTTCACAGTGTGAGCTGCCCAAATTGAAGTCTGCTGCTCAGGCAATCATTTCCAGAAAGCTGCATATTGCAATTGGGCTGTAATATTGACATTGAACCCCCAGAAGATGGGGCTGAGATATGCTCTCTTTTCCCTGATTGAGATGAGTTGGAGTTGGACACTCAAGAACATGTGGGTGGGAGGCAAGGACAAGTAGAGAGGATGGAGAATTCAGGATTGYCAAAGCAAAAACAAAACTAATAGGGTGTGAAAGGTCTGCGAGCAGATATGGATAAGCAGGTATACAGCAAGCATGAGGTTTGTTTAGTCAGAGGAACTTTCTGTGCATGGATGCAGGAAGACCCAGCTTCTGAGCAGGACCAGGTCTCTAGGTGGACACAACAACATCACCTGCTTCTAGGTGAATGACAGTGCTTTGGACTGTGTTCAGGACCTGGACATGCATGGTAGGAACAAGACTGATCACCTTGAATAAAGAAATGCCTTCTCTCTAATCAGCCAGTTATTTATTCACTTTCAGGACAGCAGGATGGTTCGGGGAAGCAGAGGGAGATATTAGTATTCAAGAGCAAAATTACTATCTTTAATACTTGACTGCTGCTCAGAAGGCAAAATTCTCTCTCTCTCTCTCTCTCTATATATATATATATAGATAGATAGATAGATAGATAGATAGATTAGTATTGATGACTGTGCAAATATGTATTGCCACTGCTGACATGTGGCAATGTCTGGTTGGTTGTTCTTTTTGCTTTGCCACAGTCCGGATGTGCAGAAAGGAGCTGTAAGCAAGCCCACCAGTTACTCCAGGTGAGGACATTAGACACAGAAGCACACAAGACAAGGATGACTGATACCATAGGGTTAAAATAGAGTTAGTACTGCTCCCTTCAATGTTGAATGTTGAATCTTTGTTGTCTTTCTTGTAGGTAGGAGATGCAGGAAAGACACTTATTTAGACAGTGTGATATACAAATGGGCCCTTCTTTTCACAGATACAAATATATTTAAGAAAATAATCTGAGAGGAAAAGAAAGGTGTCTGGTAATTAATTCACATCATGTCTCTTCTAAAGATAGTTACTCCAGGCACCTAAATATTATACTGTGAAGCACTATGCATGTGAGTCTAATAGCCCCATAGGTGAATTCCTTATTTTTTAATATCTTCCTTTTTTTTTTTTTTTTTATTGTCCTTTACAAGATTGAACAGCAAATGACTCTTGAACAACTTCAGAGACTGAATTCTGCATTTCAGGTATGGCTTTGCCAATGAAATTGTTAGCTCTTAGTGTAACATAAAAGAATTCCCAAAGCCACATGTTGATTTCAGAGAAGCATGGGAGCAGCCAAAATGCCTTGTTTATTTTGCGCAATGTTTGTGCAATGTGTTTTGTGCAATGTTAATGCTTCTAATTGGCACTTTCTTCCCTGAGTGATTGTCGCATCTAGTTTGTTTTGGGATAAGAATGTTTGGGCTGGAATTTATGATTTATAACAACTTTGCCACAGTCATTCACTCTCTCTGAAGAGTGCATGTTTTCCTGATGCATTGGTTTCAGCAGTCTCCTTGGATCATGTTCTTTATGATCCAAGCTCATTCCCATGTGGTTGTTCACACAAATACTCAATTATCAGTCCTTATAATTAATAGARAAGTATTCTGTGTTCTGTATAATCAATAGATGTCTCTTCCGGGATTTAAAATCCCCAATATGGGGAATCTTTCCTGTTATTACCAACACATGACATCGAATGCCCTGCAACGTGTCCTCTGAGCACAAGCGTGGCAGCAAACACCTCGAGGCAGCAAGAGCAATGCTTCYAGGGAGCAGACGTGCCCTCACAAAAGAAGCCAGTGCTGCTGCTGGGCTTTCCTAGGTCCTGGCAGTCCAGAGGAATCTCTTTACCTGGCACGAGGCTTAGGAAGGGAGGGAAGCAAGGCTTGTCAATATGCAGCAGTTGCCCGGGGCACGTGATGTTTGCTGGTGATAAATCCATTCTTCTTCACCATGATTTGTGCTGTCTGGCACTCAAGGAGGAAATTGCTTAGCTTCACTTTGGAAGAGAAAGGGAAATGGAAATGGGTCTCTGGGATTGGAGCCACCGGCTGCTTTTGGGAGCTAGTAACATGGAAGAAGCCAAGAGCTGTCAAAAGGAAAAGATCTTTTTAACAGAGGAGGAAACCTGGCATCCAGACAGAAAAAAAAAGGAGCAGCTGTAGGTTGGGCAGCCTACACACACAGCGATGGGGTACAGCAAAATAACAGCACTCTTTTTTTCTTGCCCTTGTAAAATGTTTGCAATCAAGAGGCTAAACATCTCACAACATCTCTTGTACTGCTGGTGTTCATGAGAGGAGTGGCTGGAGCYGTCCCTGGGAGACGCTTGTCCTGGTTGCGAGTGGAGGGTGAGCAGCCTGCAGGAAGGGGCTGAGGGAGGCATGGCCAGAGCTCTGCCTCTGCTCCAAGCCCCAGCCCTTGTCTGACAAAGCAAGTCACCAGGCCTGTGGCCAACTACAGGTGCAGGGCTCCTCTCAGGCCTTGTACTGGGTGTGCTCCTCAGTTGTCTTCATCCCAGCGCCAGGGTGAACCCAAGGGCACCCTCAGCATTTCCCTACCTGGCACACTGTTTCCAGAGCAAGGAGCCTGAGACATACAGTCCAGCAGGGCTGTGTTTTGCCTTGAACACATCTGTCTAAGCTCATTTTCTGTGCCCAAAATCTGAACCTGTCAGTAAAAATCACAGTGCTTCCCTGTCTCTCCAGCATCTTCTGAGCATCATGAAATACTCAGAGGAGTAATGAAGTTGCCAGAACTCAGAAATGAGATGATTCACATCAAGAAGCTTGGAAATTTTGGCTGTAACTATAATAGATTTATAAGTGGGCAAATTGTTTGCCATGGAGTCAATGATCCAGCTGCAGAAAGGGTGAATTTGCAGACTAAAAGTGCCCTGCCAGAAGCATCCTGTTTTCACTGCAGACACTGCCAGTTGGTTGTGAGGAGGCTGCTAAGCTGAGCGGTGCAGTAATCAATGMTGGCAAAGCAGAAGAAATTCCCAGATGGCTGAATTCAAGTCCTAGAAATAATGCTGAGACACTTTAAATRATGAATAAACAGCATTGTTTTCTATGTGACCTGAAGCAATCACACCTCAGGACCCTGGCTAAAACTGGCCCACTGCATCCATGGTATCTGCCTTGCTCAGGTTGTCTTYGTAACAATGAAGGACATCAAAGAAAGAGGGGGGAAATAAAAAGAAGGTGTGTGAAGAGGTGATATGGAGGTTGGAAGCAGGGCTGCTGGAAGGGAAAACAGCATTCCTCTGAGTTCTGCACCTTTTCCATAGGAACTGGTCCATGACCCTGACTCTGAAGTAGGCTGAACCACAGGAAGGAGAAGACGGAGGAAACAAGGACCTGAATGCAGAGAAAGTGGACAGACGAGGAAAGAGAACCAGACAAGTGATCCAGGGAGTAGAAAGTATCAGAGGGAGAGAAAGATTTGCAGGATGGATGGAGGAAAATCCCCAACATCAGATACAAGCTTTAGAGATGGCAGGAAAGAGGGGAAGCATGAACGGGTTGGCTATTTTCCGAGTCTACCAGCAGACACATTTGCTTCATTCTCGGAGGAGGCTGGGAGGGGTGAGAGCAGAACTGTGGCTGCAGTCTGGGTGCCTGGGCCACATTCCCAGCCTGGCAGGATGCTGGACTTCTTGTCCACCACTATCCGAAAGCAACTCTATTGCTTCATCCAGCAATCCCTAAAAGGCCAAGGGGGACACCACTCACTGCTGAGGCCTGAAGGGAATTATTGTCTTCCTGCACCATCCACTGGCTAGGCAGGTACTAAACAGCACCTCATGTCTTCTCTGCCTTGACTTCTTGCTCCATCCTCCTCGGGAGGACGCATTAGGATTGCCTTAAGCCCAGGATATGGATGAATTTACCAGCTTCAGAAAGACTTACCCCACACTGAGCAAAAATCTCGGTCCCATAGGATCCATAGTGTATGTGTTTTGAAAGCAATTTGCCCTGTTTTACACACTATTCAAAAGTTGCAAACTATGCTTTTCTGAATAAYAGCTATATTTCTATGGAACCTGAAATTACCATATTTTGCCTGCTGGTGCAAAGAAAAAACTTGGGTTTATTTCCTGCTCTTTTGTTTTCCTTCATTTTTGAAAAATAATGAGACCTTTGCATCCAGATGGCTGAAAGCAGGCAAAGAGAGTTTTGTTTATTAAATAGAATCACTAGGCAGAAAAACACACTAGGCTGAAAAGAGATTTAAGTTGACCCTAAGGTCAGGAGACAACATTCATCCCAAGGCGCTAAGGTAATGTAGAATCAGGCTGCATTTTCTAATTGCTGAAGTAAAGAATTCAGGTTGGGTGACCCATAAAACAATTCAGAAGATAATTATAATTTTAGACTAAATTGTTCAGAAGTCCAGCTTCACATTAACATGCTTTTTAATGAATAATCTTTAAAAGCAAAAATATTTTTTCAGCAGTTTCGTGTTTTTTCTTTTACTCCCAGGAGCTAGAAAAGGATGGCTACAAATCACTAGATGTAGAGAAGTTTAAGCAGATAATGAAGAAGTGCATGAGTCTGCATAAAACAGTGAGTGAACTACAATTTTTAAAAAGCCTGAAAAGGAACACCACATTTTGTTAACCCTGCAGATATGAGCACATTTGTGCTGTTGTAGCCTCTGAATTTTCCTAGAAAACCAGGGCATCCAAAATAAATATTAGGCATCCAAAATAAAATATGGAATCTGGGAGAACCGCCTTTTAAATATATAGTTTCTACCTGTATCCGGTTTAGTTATTTGTTTGTGGTTGTGAAAAGAGTAATTAAGAATGATTGATTGAATGATTGAAAACTGTAGGATAACTCTGAGAACAGAAATGAGCAATATCTTGGCCACTATCTTTTTTGTTCAGTCATTAGCATTTTTATGTAAAATGATTTCATAATTGAATTAGTCTGATCCATATTTGTAAAAGAATGTATTCCTGAAATTCTGTTACTCATTTAAAAAGCAGCATCAAAGCTGAGACTGCAAAGCCCAATTATTTCCAGCTGAATAAAAATCTACTATGAAAATAGTGCATATTAACTCAATTACTTTTCACGTAACATATTTGTCTCATATATGTTTATCTTACTATATACTATATTTCAGAGTGATGAGCAAGTTGAAAGGCTTTTCATGAAAATAGACTATGCTGCAACTGGAAGTATTCGGTGGGTGAGTATCCATGTGGGACAAGTTGGGAGGGACTTTTTAATTTGTTTATTCTTTGCTGAGGTTCAACTTAGTTGAAGAATAAATTTTTAGTCACCTAGGAATGACAGTGAGAACTGCAGCCACAAAAATTTATCAACAGAATTGACCTTTAAATCAGGGTTCACAGGATATTAAAGAGAGGAAGTATTACATGAGTTCAAATTTTCATATTAAAGTTATTTTGTAAAATGCACTTTTTTGTTCTATTTTACACTGATTTTCTTGGGAAAGGGTCCAAGTTTCTTTTTGGGAGTTTGCACAAGTTGAGCAAGAAGCTGGGCAAATGATCCTGAAATCCTTATCCAGTTCAAACTTGTACAAAAGCATTTCCACACCTGTGTCCAGCTCCTCTCCACGCACAGCAGTAGACATCTACTGAATACTCCCAAAAAACGCCCAAGCATTTGACTTTGCTCCTGGCAGACATCCTGCCCTCCCCTGCCCCTTATTCTTCCTGTTAGTTGGTGTTTACAACGCTACAGGTTGTTGCCCCTCAAAGGGAGATTTCACAAGGGAGCAGAGTATTTCTTCAGAACTTTTATTCACAAAAATATGAGCACAAAGTCATGTTTCTTGGATTAGCTCCATCTAGCATGCAAGGAGGCCCATATTCTCATCCCATATCTTGCCCAGCAGCTCCCCATCATGCTCCTTGCCCTTCTCCAGGGAGATGGGAGCTGGGCCTGTGGTGTCCACCTGGGAACAACACCTCGTTCCCAATAGCAGAGGTGGCCTGAGACTATGGGAGGGAGTGAGGGAGCTACACAACCTCAACTCACAGTGCAGACCTGCCAGTGAGACCCTGTCCAGCTGTGCTTTTGAGCCCCTCCTGCAAGGTGAAGGTCTTTTCCAAGCCTATTGATTCTACGTGGAGGGACATCCCATGCCTGGAGGCCCTCAGGGAAGCAGCACATGGCTGCACCACCTACTCCCCATTGCAGGCCGTAAGTATGAGAGACTGTGTTCGCCTGCAAGGATTTGGTGTTTTACACCAAACACCCGTGTTTCACCACCGTACTCTTTGGGTGACCAGACCTCTCCCGTGCCAGAATGACTTCTGCACGTACATGCAGCTGGAGTACGCCGAGCAGGACAGGTCCTGCGCGCAGCTGAAGCACGCGGCCTTCTCGCTGCCCGCCGCCCGGCAGCCGCTCGGCCCCGGCCACCCCGTCCTGCGCATCCGTCCCCTGGCCGACCACACGCTGGTGACCGCTCAGGAAGACGGCGTCGTGTCCTTCTGGTCCGCGCGGCTGAAGCTGAGGCGCAGCAGGATGGTTTTTGTAGGTRCTTTTCATTTCCTTACAGGCCCTTTTTGTTTCCTGGACAATCCTCCCGTTCAAATATGCGAGTCTAAATTATCATGCTCATAAGTGATTCTGCTCTGCACGAACAGAAAATCACACTTAAAATGTAGGCTTACATTAATTCCCTCACTGTGTGATGATTTAAAGCAGAAATATTTGCTATATGCTGTTGTTAGAGATAAAGCCTGTAAAATTTCAAGATTATCAGTGACTAAGCACTCATAACTTTATTAGTTTTACCGCTCTGGCTTAAAAAATAAGTAAATGATAAAAATGTTAGAGAAAGGCATTTTAATTGAAAACAAGCAGGACAAAGAAAGTTCTAGAATGATCCAGAACCTCATACAGGTTTACAAATTATAAGCATAAGGTCGTAATGTGGCATTAAAAAAAACCTTATTTTTTATATGTGGCAATGCCATGATCACAAGTCTTATAATTAGAACCTTCATACTTATATATACTTATAATTAGAACCTTCATACCTTAACTTCATACATATAAACATAGAAGAGTGTTTAGAAACCACTGAAAAGTGTTTAGAAAAGTACATATAAACCAGAAAAATTACTGATCTAATCTGTCTAAAGTTCAGTTAAGAGCAGCAAAGAGCAGTAAAAAATCCCTAATGCGTTTTATTTTGGTGAAAATGTCTGTTCTTTTTGTATGCTCCAAAAGATATTGAAAAGCAGTCCTTGTGGAAAGACAGGAAAYTCCAGTAAGGTTCATGACAGTGTAGGAGTTTCCATTGCTCTTGGTGTTGTGCTGCTGCAGGGTTGTCATTGTCATTATCAAACAGCTGAGAGTTCTAGGTGTCTGCTGATTAAAAAAAGTAGCAGTTAGTGTTTGGGAAAGCAAATGCACTTACTCTGCATCCAGAAACAGATGTTGAGACAGAGGTGGTTCTAAGTCTGGGAGGATGTCACATCAAGATGCACATCAAGACCTAGCAAAATCAGAAGGTTTCTCCCCTCAAATAATGCAAATAATGAGGAGTGTAAGATTTTGTTCAAACAAATGCCCAAAGGAAATCCCTGTAAATCCATGTCCATATGCCTGAGCTGAGCAACCATATGCTGTGAAACCATGAAGCAAGAGCCAGCTCCACCATCACCAAGAAAAAGAGGTGTTATATAATGAATGATTTCTCAGTGCTATAGGTGGTAAGCAAAAGCCTCATCCTGAGTGGGACAGGATTGCTCTTCACTCTGCTTTATATCTGCAAGAGCCTCTCTTGCTTTTTAGGAGAAGACAGCCAAGAAGAAGCMTAAGTGGGTGTTGGATTTCACTGTCATGACACAGTACAACAAACTCCTCTTGGCAACAGCGTGAGTGGTCTCTGACAAGAAATATACCTCAGAAGTAAACATTTAACTGTAGTAACTACCACCATATCTGGGGAAATGGCAAGAGACCTTAAATAATCTCAAGACAAGTACTAGTGGGTTGAGGGCCCTTTTCCAAAGTCACTGCAGTGACATTCTTGTTAGTCACTGTCTGGTCAAGGACTGAAGGATGTAACAAACATGAGTCTCTTCTTGAGACTGCTGCTTGATAAATCCACATATAAAGATAAATCTTTGTGGAAGAGGTAATTATGTAGCATCTTCTGTGAGCTTGTTTAGTTCAAATTCTATGTTCATTTTTAGAAAAATAGAAAAGAAAAAGTGGTAATCCAGATAGCAACTATAAATTAATTCCATCATGGACACTCTAAAAACAATACTTTAAAAATATTGAAAACAAAAGATGTAATATACTGTCAAATGACAGGAGAAATCTGTTACCTGTTTAAAATTTATCTGACAGTGATCGGGAAATCCAGTTGTATGAACTTTGCAACTTTGAGCCATACTGCCAGATCAGTGCCTTGGAAGCTGTCCCTTTGAGACTGGACTACTGGTAAGAAATACTTCCCAGTACATATACTTCCCAATACATTGCCAATACATTCCCAATACTTCCCAATACATTCCCAGCTCAGCATCAATACTCTGCAGTCTGCATTTCTGTCTGGCCTTGATGGCAATTATAGTTTAATGTGATATTTCTTCATATGATCCTGATAGAAATAAAAAATTATGTTGTTGTATAGCTCACTTTATCTCTCTTAATTATATATATAATATAATCTTAATTATCCACATTATGTGTTTGGGTGTTTATTCAGTTTGCAGTCAGACTGAATGATAAATGACAGTGTACGGATGCTTCCTGACATTGATGGTGAGTGAATGTGAAAGACAGCTAACACCTTTTGATAATCTACCTCCAAAATAGTTGGCACTAAGAAATGTTCTGTACAAATGGGACATGATACTGATTGACTATGACAGCATTAGCCAGTTTAGGTAAGTGACCGTAAAGCTACCTCATGAGGTCCCAGTCATCAGCTACCTTAGACTGTGGATAATTGCGAGTGTGGATGATTATGAGGGAAAAACACAGAATATCACAGAATGTTCAAGTTTGGAAGGGACCTGCAGAGATCATCCAGTCCAATCCCCTGCTCCAGCAGGGACACCCAGAGCACGGGGCACAGGGTGGCAGCCAGGYGGRTTTGGAAGATCTCCAGAGAAGGAGACTCCACAGCCTCCCTGGGCAGCCTGTGCCAGGGCTCTGGCACCCTCACAGGAAAGAAGTTCTTCCTCCTATGGAGATGGAACTGCCTGGGTTTCAAYTTACACCTATTGCCCCTTGTCCTATCACTGGCCACCACCGAGAAGAGTTTGGCCCCATCCTCTTTACATTCTGTAAATTCTTACATTATTTATATATATTCCTGTCCGTTCCTGCCYGCTGCCCAGGCAGCTGATATTCCCCTGCAAGCCACATTATGATCTGCCAAATCCTGCCTTCTGCTGCAGGAGTCAGGACCAGTATTCTGAGGACAGGTTTAATCCTGCCTCCTTACAAGTGACTGAGAACAGGGCTGCTTCAAGTGTCAGCGTTAACCACTGCRTACCATACTAAGCAGCCTGCTGTTATGATAAAGTATTAACAACTAATCATTTTCTTAAATGAAACGTACTTCAGTGCACCTTTTATAATTACCAAGCCATATTACAGTTGATTTTGCACATGATGCTTCACAGTTTATTATCAGGTTACATAAGAAGYAGCAACAAGCAGTTGCCTATATTAAGCTTGAGCATTGCAAAGAGAAAGCAATTAGGCTCCCGGGAAGCTTAGTGTTGTTAGTTTGTAAAACAGGCATAAGGGTAGGACCTTTGCCAAACTAAAGGTTGGGTTAATGGGATGATAAAGCAATAAACCTTGTAATGCATGAACATGTTATTGTGGAGCTAAGGAAATGCGGATGTTTTAGGATAGACTTTGATGAAACCTGAATTTTATTCACACAAAGTGTTTAAACGTACTTGGACGGTCAAACAGCACTTAATGATGCATTAAATGACCTGAAAACTGGCTGAAATAGTGTTTCTTGTTTAGAGTAAGGAATCCTCAATGTATTTTGGTTACATGAACATAAATTGTATTTGCCATTAAAGCTGTCCGGTTTACATACTGCAGACTAGCACGCTTGAGGGGGTTATTCTAAGTTGTTTTTCCAAAATGAAGTCTCTGATACCTGTCGTTCATGTTGTTCTCTTCAAGCCAGAGGTTGTGAATATAAGGAACTGTTAGAAACCTGTTTTTGTTAGTTCACTGACTTTATTGTAGAAGTCATGTGTTAATTCTTCCTTTTCTTATTTCTGCTGTGCAAGCACGGGATATCTGCTGTAATAAATTTCATGTTGGTGTCTAGCAGGTCAATGAAGAGGTTTTTAACAGGACTTTATCTTGCAGTAAAGTAAAAGTAGACTCAAAACAACTAMACCTCAGATTTCTCATCTGAGGTTTTTGTCTGAGAAGTTGGATCCAAATGCTCATTAAAGTATCTTTTTTGGGAAAAAAAAAAGATGCTTTTTTGATAGAGTTGGCAAGAAATGCATCATTCCTTTTCCACCTCTGCCTGACAGAATAAACATGGCATTCAGGCTATCATAAATTCTTTTATTTTTTCCTCACCTAAGACCATTCTTTCCAGGAAGTGCTAACTGCAAGATCTGGGCTGATCTTTTCTCTGTAATTGCTACTGTAGTGGGAGGCTATGCCATACTTTTCCCTCATGAAGAACTGCCTAMATTTTTTTCATCAGGAGCCAGGTTCTGATTTGGGACATCCAACTTCACAGCTGAAAGGCAGTCAAAAGCCCTGGCCAATGCAGCACATGGAAAACAGCCCATATTTCCCGAGATGTTTAGATCTGGGTCCCTGGGGGAACCTTTGGGAGCCGATTACGTGGTGAGGGGCAGTGGTGAGACATTCTAACGGTGTTTTAGTGTTCTGTAGAAAGCCACACACAGTGAGTACAGCCCAAGGAAGCCTGGTGGGAGTGTGCAGGCGCTCTCACAGCCTCCCTCGCCGCGATACGAACAGCTCTTCGTGGTGCGGGGGCGAGCGGCCCGCCACGAGAGGCGCTTGCTGCAGTTACATAGTGGCCTGAAGCCAGGGACATCAGCTGAGGAGGGACATCAGCATGAGGCGCCCAGAGGCCGCGCGGCTTCGCGTGTGGCAGCGCTGAGTGAACAACCTGTCTGTCCATGTTCAGCTCCCCCGCCAGCCCCTTTCCTCCTGTAGCTGGAAATTCGGGTAGCCCAAATTGTGCCCAGCAGTTCCGTGCCAGACATGGAGCCGTTCTGCGAGGGGCTGCGTTTAAATGGCTGGAGGTTTGGGTGTAACTAAGGAGCCAGGTGAAACTTTAACTGAGGTTCAGTGGAAGGTCTTGCTTACTGTTCTTCTCTTCTGTTCAGTTCCACTGCTCACGATGAGTGTTTGCTTCTCTAYGGAGACGATCAGGTACGCGCCTGCAAAAGGCTTCCTTTGGGGCTCTTCTCAAATGTTCAATACCCAGTGTTGCCCAGTACACATCTGCTTAGCCAGGGAATGAGGGAGAGSAGGGGAGAACATAAAAACGTAGATCAGCCAGGGCGCTGCTGAGGCAGGCAGGTCGTGTTGCCTGCTCAGTGCAGCCCAATGCCTTTCCTGCAGGAGCGAAGGTCCTTCCCTTCTCCTGCCAAGCSCTCATGCTCCTAGTGCTTCATCCCTGACCATTGCCCTTCATGATGGATTCAGTGGTCAGTCACGAGCTGAAGGCTCCCAGCAGCGCACAGGATTAGGCCTTCCCATGAACTAACTGTGGACGGCGCCTTTTTAGTCTCATTCTTAATTCCAAAGGCTGTGGCTGGCTCTTCGTTTGGAAACTGGCAGCTCTCGTGTATTCCTTACTTTTATTGGTACTCTGGGCTCAGTTTTTGCAAATTGCTGAGTAGCTCTGTGAAGCTGGTGTGTGCCTTCAGCTCCTGCTGGCTTCATCGCGGGTCCTTTGATAACAGATATCTACAACATGAATTAGCCATCTGCTAAACACTGCCTGTTATATTTGTGCCAAATCCTGARATCCTTGTCTGTGCAAATCTGCCTTTGGGATCAGGGACTGGGGAGGGGGAAATATGTGTGTGCCTACAATTTTCTTAGAAAAAATTTTTTGACTGTTTCTGTTTTTTCAATTGTTTTAGGGCTGTGTCAATATTTTGCTCATGTCCTCCATGGGAGAACTCCTAAGGTAAGCACCTATGTTTCAAATATAATGCAAAGCCATGTGAAAAATGAAAGTCTTTAATGCTGCTCAGGTGGAATGCTGATGAAATYTTGTGAATTTTTACCAGGTGTAGCTTTCTTCTTTTGATCTTGTGTTGTGCTGTATTATCTTGGTTTATAAATGGAGCAATTTATGTTTCACAGTCTATCTTGGGCTAGAAATACCCATCTGGAATGCCCCATTATGCTGTTGCATAAATGGGTTTGCCCTAAAACTGAAGGCAGAGCAGATGCAGAGACCAAATGGAAAATTTCTGTGGCACTTTTTCATGATCAAGCCAGCAGATGGTGCTTGTGCCCTTACCCGTTTCTCGGAGAAACCCTCTTGCAGTGCGTGCAGATCAGCTTGCTTCTGCCCTGTCCGTTGATGTGCAGTGTCTACCAGAGGAAAACTGTACAGCTCACAGCCACTTGTCACTTTTCAGAGAGCTGAAGGATTCGGCACTGAAGCAATACATTTCCCACAGGATTTCCAATCCCTTTTACTTTRGCTGTTTCGTGATCCGTTTTTCTTAAACTCTTGTTTTGCAGTCATCATAATAATTCCGTGTGTGTGTGGTTTTTTTTTCCTTTAAAATTGGAAGGTGGGAGGAGGACAGTAATTTATATCATCTCTTTGGACAGCTTTCTGAACACAGCTTGCTGAAACAGTCTGGGAGAGACGGCTTATGCCTTTTGTATAAGCTTGTGGAGGCCCAGGGCAGCCTCTACAAACTGGGATGATTTGAAGTCAATATTGAAAGTTCTGTTCTTATGGGAGCCATGTTGTGAGAGTACTTCAGCCTGGAAGAAAATGGTCATAGAATTATAGATCATTATGGCTGGGAAAGACTTGCAAGATCATTGAGTCCATTCATAATCCCTTCAACACCATGCCGGCTAAAACATGTCCCAGAATGCCTCATCTGCACGTTTCTTGACCACTGCCAGGGACAGTGACTCTACCACTTCCATGGGCAGCCTCTTTCAAAGCCTGGGTACTCCTTCTGTGTAGAAATTCTTCCTAATATCTAACCTGGACCTCCCCTGGTGCAATTTGAGGCCATTTCTTCATGTCCTATTGGTAGTTATTCTGGTGAAGAGATTGGCATCTGCCTCACTAGAACCTCCTTTCATGATAAATGTATCAGAAAAGTACCTTCCTGGGCTTTTCCAAGCACTGATAAAGAGGTGCTATCCTTTCTCGTTGCTGAAAGGAGAAAGCTGTTGGATTCCCACATGCACATTTGAGTATTGATTCAGCGCCTGATGGAAGAGTGTGTTAGGACTCCCATCAAGTGGTTTAGTATTTCTGCACAATACCAGATCTCACTTAAAGAAGTAAAGAAYAAAACTTCTATCTCTATTTAATAAGCAAGACCTAAGCCCATGAGGCAAAGATAACCCAATGCCAAGAAACTGCAGAGAGTATGACATAATGGTGCTGGTTTTAATTATTCCAGCTAAGCATTTGAGGTAATTGTTTCATTTGATGAAATGTGAGAGGAGGGGTCATAGATGTCTCCTTCAGAACACTATGTAGGCTTATTTGTGTGAGATAAGTTGGGAGGCTTTAGATACCAGCCCTTATTTTCTACCAGTGGTTTGGGGTCAAGAGAAGCCAATAGTGCATCCTCACTGCTCTGCACATGAGGACTCAGTTGTCTCCTTCCTGCTTCTGATGGCTCAGAGGATGCTTCTTAGAAAACCAGAATTCCATTTGCTGTGGAGATAAGAAAGTGTCTCCACAACATAGCTCCTGCTTAGAYACATAGGAGGGAGTGGGACACACTCCGGGGAATGACCCTGCACGAATGACCTACCTGTCGTCTCTATTTGCTCTGCCACCCTGGACCCTTGCTTGGATAGACCTCATTAGCTCTCCCCTTGGTTTCATTGCCAGCTCTATGTCTCCTGGAGCAGCTTGCAATCAGGGATTGAGATGGAGCTGCTCATAAAAAGCAGCATAGACTGAGGCAATCCCATATGCCAAAATTCAGGTGGGAATTCCCATGCAGGCACTAATCTCCACTGTCCATGGATGAAGACAATGAAATGTTGGCTTACCCAGGAAGGATGGTTTGCTTTCTCCCTACCTTTACACCCTTGACTTTATTTTTTTTCCAGAACATGGAAGAAGCTACCAAAAGCTGATAATATGCCAAACATTTGCCTTGAGAGTGCTATTCTCTCTCCCAGCGTGACTTACATCCGCTGGAAAGTGCATGAGGACTGGGTTACTCAGGTAAAAGAATAAAAAATATGGGAGAGCTGGTCTGTCRTTTGGTAAGAGTGGGAACAGCAGGATGCTGAGAAGAGGCTCAGCTACACATTTACACAATGAAGAATGAATTACACTCATGAAGAGTTTAATTCATTTTATCCATCTGTGGTTTTTTTCCTTTTTGCAGCATAAAAGAAAAAAAAATAAAGTAGCCCAGAAAACTATCTTCCTGTAGACACAACTTTGTATTAAACATTATTCTCTCTCCTTCTTCGTAGCTGAGTTACTATGACTCCATTAAAGCCGTGATTTCTACCTCCAGCCATGAGTTGACAGCTTTAGTAATAGGTAACAATTTTGCTTATCCTTAAAGCCAATAGGAAATTCTTACAAGGTAATTTGTGTTCTCCGTGCTTCCAGGCCTGCAGCTTTTCCAGGTTACTGCGTTCCCACCAGGGAACTGGATGGGGGGGGATGTCATTGCTACCTTAATTCCTAGTAGTGACCTGAAGTGTAAACATTACCACTGATGACAGAAGGGATTCAGGTTCTGGGGACAGAGCCGAGTGGAAGCAGAAAAGCAGATTTCTTTTTCTTTTTTCTTTTTTTTCTTTTTTTCTTTTTTTCTTTTTTCTTTTTTCTTTTTTTCTTTTTTCTTTTTTTCTTTTTTCTTTTTTTCTTTTTTCTTTTTTCTTTTTCTTTTTTTCTCTTTTTCTTTTTTCTTTTTCTTTTTTTCTCTTTTTTCTTTTTCTTTTTCTTTTTTTCTCTTTTTTCTTTTTTCTTTTTTTTTTCTTTTTTTTTTCTCTTTCTTTTTTATTTTTTTCTTCCAGAATTGCCTACTTGACAGTTACAGGTAGGTTTTCTACATGGAAGACCAATTTATAAGCCCATCCAGGGCCAGTAAAAAAGGCATCAGCCTTGCAGTTGAGCTGAGCTGATTTCCTGACCAGTCTTACCAATTTCGGGAGCTAATGCAGGAGAGTAAGAGTCGCAAAGAACATTTGTTACTTAGTAATCTATTCCTATGGTCTAAAAATGTCTTTGAGAAGGACCTGAATCCTCAGATTTTCTGCAGACTACCTTCTYTCCTCTTGTCTGCATGTTTACATTGAAAACTTGATGAAATCTCAGAAAATACGAATATCTCCCTGAGATTGCCATCTAGTTCATTTTACCTCACTAGAAATAATGCAAGAYAAAAGTCTCTGATTGATAAATACTTTGTTGATATGTTGGAACTWAAGATTTTCTAAAAGATACAGAGGTGTATTTCTAACCTGGGCAGAGGTATAAGCTGGAAGCTATGGCCTTGGGGGCACTGTCACAGCCTGAACCCTCAGTGGGGAAGTCAGTGTGTCTCAGACACTAGGAGAAGAAGCTTTGCATTAATTAAGGTGATAACATAAGAATAGACATATGGAATATAAATAATACAGTTTTCAGTTTTAAGCTGTGTCCAGGAATGCTGAGCACTTGCCAATGATTTAAAAATGGGTATCTAAACCAAAGGCTAAATGGTTACTGGRGAATTTTCATAGAATCATTATGGGTGGAAAAGACTTTGAAGATCATCAAATCCAACAGTAAATCCATCACCACCATGCCTGCTAAACCATGTCCATCTGTCCATGAAATCTATCAGGAACCTCTCCTTTGGATCACAACTTACCAAGAATGCACACACCTTGTAAACTCAGTCTCTGTCTTGAGATTCTGAGGTCAAATACTAAAGTTCTGGTTTGTGTCACATGCGGGCTGACTAACTTTATTCAGTGTTTATATAACCACTCCATATGAGAAAGACTTAAATGTTTGGTTCCCTTTGCTTCCTATTTCTGGGGCCACTGTGTGGGCACGGGTGTTGTTAGTGGAGGTGAAACGAGCCTGGTGACTCCATGGCCTCATTTCAGCAAAGCACCTGAGCAGCTGGTAGACCCCGAGCTCAATGGGACACACGCAGATGTACCTCCCTAAGTGAATTAAAGGCATAGGAATGCCTCTCAAATCTGTTTCACTCCCAAGGAAGTTGATTGCAGAGCTCCTATTGACCTCCCTGAGCAGAATCCCCTCCTTTGAGGGCAGGTAAATGAATGTATTTCCTGGATGCACAGATCAGCTCTCACGCAGCTTTGAGCTCTGCGCGTTTCTAACGTCAGGGTGATTGTGAGCAGCTCTGCTGCGGGTCACCCTGCTGCCCAGCCAGACCTTCCCCCACCCACTCTGTCTTCATCTGCCCACAGGAACAGAGTGAGAGAGCTCCCATCTCCTCAAGGTCACCCCTGGTTTCCATGGTGACCATTTAAATGTAATTGTCTTATCAATCACAACCTCCTTTATTTTCATAAGCAGCTATAAAATCTCTGCTGGTTTCTATAGCAACCATCTTTAAACCCATATATTTGTTTTCTCTAGTCTTAGCTGAATTGTTTTCTCTAGTCTTAGCTGAATTGTTGGAAATAGTGCAAATTAACTGCTGGTACAATATTTCACATATTTTTTCCTTTAAGCTATTATTTACCGTCACCCGGAACAACATTTATGATGAGGCTGCTGTCTTTTTTATTCCTGCTAGTTAGAGCAGCCCTTTGTTATCTGGCCACACGAGCGATGCATCTTAAAGCCATCATTTTCCCAAGGAACAGGAAAACCTGCAGCTTCTGGAGTTTAGTCTTCCCTTCCCCATTCAGGCCCTTCTATCTGTCTCTCCCAGAGGGATATGGTGCCCTTTCCTTACCCTAAATCTCTTGGGGGGAAATTTTGCAGGAATAGCACCTCCCCTCGGGTAACCTCGGCACAAAGCACAGTCATTACTTAACAGCAACACTGAGGGTTAGTCAAATATTATTACCCATAGAGTGTGAAGAATATGCACAAGGTTAATGGCCCATCTACACTGCAAATCCAATAAATGTGAATAAGGGGGGGTTTTTTTCAGCCTAAATGTGGTGGCTGCAGCCAGAGTGGATACCACACGGGCTGTGGTTTTATTTCACCAGACAGCAGGCAGACACACAGTTATCTGAAAGAGCTGACAGTGGCACAGTGACAACAACTCTCCTAGTTCATGATCTCACTGAAAACACACTTTGTTTTTCAGTTTTGCAAAGTTCATGTCTCCTGGGTAGATCATAACTGGAGAATGTGCTTAATTCAAGGTTATAAAATTAGCAGTAGATAATTATTCCGCTCTGAAAGTCTGTGGCAGCTTTTGCTGGAATCCTCTCCACAGCAGCAGATCACAGCCCTGCTGCAGAAATACTGCTCATTTTGTGTAACTTCCAGGCTGTACAAGAAGGGGACATGAAATACTGAAAAGGAAGAAGGGACCTGAACTCCACCTGTGCTGCTGATACCTGTCGTCCCTGGCCTTTTCTTGTTCCTTTTTTATTGCCTTTTTGTAGGAAAACATTAGTACTTTAGGAGAGAGGTGACGTAAGTGTTTGCTTTCCTCCTAATGCCCAATTTGTGCCTGACACTTGGTCCATTGAGGTTTTCCTTTGCTCTCCCCTGCGTTTGTGCCTGTGCACTGGGATGAGCAGCTTGTGCAGGGACACCAGCAAGACTGCACCAGTCTGCATTGCTCCTTGGCACAAAGGCTGCTCATAAACTGGAAAAAGTTCAAGGAAGGGTAAAACAAACAAATATTTAAAAAATACAGCTAGGTAGCTGGGGTGGGTTCCCTCATTAGGACAGATCAAAGCAGCTTTGTGTCAATTAATGAGAGACTCAGTRACTGTCATAGAGGATTAAGTATGGGAGGAGGAATGCATCAGAGCAATAAAAAAAGGGTATGAGGTAACTACTTCTAAAATTAAGCAAGATGAAAATCTAATGACTCAGGAGCATAATGCCTAATTCTGCAGAAGGTGGTAGGTAGTCGAGGAGCTTGGAGTCCATCCAGCTGCCTGGCTTTGCTGAGCGAGGTGTCTGTTTTTCCAGGGTGCACTGTTGGAGCTACTAATGTTGAGCAGCAGATGAAAGAAATACAGGAGCCTGGGAAAGGCTCCAAGGGAAAGAAAGGGCAGCTGGCAATGGGATCACCTCCAAAGAGAGCCAGAGGGGATCAGACTGTGTTCCGAGTCCCCAAAGGAGTGAAAACATTTGCCTTCAGTAAGAGGAATAATCTCCTTGTGACTGGAGGAATGGATCGGATCATCCGGCTGTGGAACCCCTACGTGCCCAGGTGAGGGGCTTGTGACACCTGCCAGAGGGCTTGGGCAGGCCAGGTCACAGCATCCCATGTCCATAACTGCCTGTGTCCTGACTTGTATGGCACTAATGCCTGTATCGATCTGTGAGCTCAGGAAAACCAAGAGGGAAGCACAAGCTTGGGAAAACCAAGCACTCTGTGGCATTTCCTGCGATACAACCAGACACCCAGGTGCACCCTATTCCTGGTCTTTATTCTTAGGACTACTGCACCCCATTAGCTCATTCAAACCCCAGTGAAAAACACCTTCTATAAATAGGTGTTTTGCAGAAAACCAGACGGTTTTCGATGAAAGCTTGGCAGGAGCTGCTCCTCATCACTATTCCTCATCGCTGAGCGCCCAGACCTGCATGATGTTTTGCAAAAACAGATGCCCAAGGAGAGAGGAGAAGAACCTTAAAGTCCAAGTCATGGCTACATCAAGTCATTGTAAATTACCAAGACTCTTGGAAGTCTAATAACCTGTCAGAAGGCCCCTGTGTCACGTACTGCATGGAGAGGGGATGCCAGGGGTCCGTCAGAGCTGGAGCTGACTGTGGAGATGGAAGTGGGCAGAGTCAGGGAGACAATATTAATATGTAGGAAAAGCAGCTTTCTATGCCGGAAAAGCAGCTTTCTTCAGGCAGATGCTTGCAGTATCTCTGCCTTTATTTTAGTAAAGTGCTACTGTTGCTAAAATTTTCATGAAGAAACTTACAGAACAGCTCTCCACAATACAATCATTAATAGATTTAGGGCCATTACATTTTATTTGGCTTATTAAGAAACTCACAGATTAAAACTGTTTAATATTGAACTATTCTTATTTGAATTTCAGCCAGTGCACAGGCATGCTCAGAAGCCACACAGCGCCCATCTTTTACCTCCACATATCTGAAGAGGATGCTAAAATAATATCTGTGTCCACAGATAACACAGTTAAGGTCTGTAGAGAGTTCTGATACAATGCTCTTGTTCTTTCTATGTGAATTTGCTGCAATTTTCCAACTTCTCTATGTRTGACTAGTATTTAATCTGCACAAAATCAACACAGTCCATTTGCCTGTATTGGAAAAACATTTGCAATTCTGAAATCAAATATGGAGCTTTTGGGGGTTTAACTTTGGGTTTAACTCAGTTTAAGTTGGCTCCTTTGAGCACCTTTATTGCCACAGAGCACAACTGTGCCCAGGGCCCCTGCCACCCACCCTGGGCAAAGCGAAGCCTGGGCTGGTGCTTTGCTGGAGATCAAAGACTGGGTGAGACTTCTGCTTCAGGCCTCTGTTCTCCCTTCTGTGGACAAGGGATGTGCACAGCTGTGAACAGGCCAGGAATGAATGCAGAATTTTCTTGCTGGTGCATTTATAGACTCTTCTAACAGCCCTTTTTGCATCTGATCCCTTCAATGAAATGTTCCAAAATAGCTGAACAATTTTTGCCAACCCCTCTRTGATCCTCCTGGAAGCAATGCAAAGAGCAGCCCGGGCAAGACACTCCCCTGCATGCTGACGTGCACCAGACTTGGGAATAACACACATTCCCCTTCTCTTCTTTCCATTTTTTCCCATAGATTTGGGATTCTGAGGACCAGAGCTGCTTATTTTCAGCTTGCTCCAAAGCCAGTGGAATCAAGGGCGAGCTCTCGGCTTGCCTCTATGCTCCTGCYATGCAATCCCTTTATGTTGCTGCAGAGGCACTGGCTCTCCTTTACCTGAAGCGGAGGTAAAGGCACCTGGGGATAAGGCAGGGGAGGCAGGGGGGCTGTACTGTGTCTTTTTTCAGAAGTCTGTGGTTTGGTAAATGCGACGTGTGTGAGAGAACAGTTTGCTAAGGACGCATGAGAGTGCCATAATGGCATGGGATAAAGAACATACTGTTTGTAAGGAATGAAAGCCTCATTCTCCTTATCTCAGGTTTTAGCTCCTTTTGAATTCAGCATCTCTTCTTCCCCTCTTTGGCTGATGTATCAGGGGAAGAGGATAGAGAGCAGCTCTAAGTGCTCCTACCTTTTGTGCCACTCGTGAAGATCGACCCCTCTCTGGGGAGCCCTGAGGGAAATGCTGGGTGTGCTGTGTGCTTTCCAAGTGCCTGAAGTGTTTTTTTCCATGAAACAGGCCTCTCCCCGAGCCCCACTTGGTGGTTTCTCACCTGGAGCCCGTTCTGTGCTGCAAGTTTAACAGAGTGTTCAGGCAGGTGGTGAGCTGCTCCCAAGGATCCGTAAGTGAAAAGTGGATTGCTCTAAAGAGCCGCTACTTCTGACATCCTCCCGTGAGTCTTAGCTGCTTTCTGTCTGCCTGTGCATTTTTAATGGCCTGCTCTCCAACAAGGTATTTTAGCAGCCCGTATGGTGAATATTATAGCAGGTATAAAGCAGCACACATCACATCCATCTTCTCGGCAGCTGCTCCTGGGAACATGAATCTGCTATTTATGCTGTTCCCTTTCCTGCCCCCTGATCCCATCGGACTGGGCTGGTCTAGAGTCTGCAGCGATGAGCCCAGTATACCCTGGGGGTTTGCACCACAGCAGCCTTCTCAGCAGAACTGCAGGTACCCAGAGCACGTTAGCACAAGGACTGTTAAGGACTGGCCCCATTCAAATCTGYCCTCCAGCCCCTACTGAGGTAGATGTTGGAGATCTCAATAAAGGTGACAGAAGGACGTGCCTTTTCCTTGCTCTTCTACAGAAAAGAAAACCTGAGCACGAAGGTGGGGACTGGGGTGGCAATTCAAAAGGAGGTGTTAGGCTTCTTTTCAGACTCCAGTTTTCTTTAATCTTTTTTTTTTCTTTCTATAAAGACGGTTAAAGTGTGGGATTTTGAAACAGGAAAGCAGCTATTTGAGTTCACCAGTGCTCATGGAGAGGCAGCGATCACCTGTTTAACTTTYGATGACAGCGGAAGAAGGTACATTTCTTTCTATGTTTATTTAAATCTCTGTTGGCGTTTTTGCTACTAAATTCAGAAAAACAAAAACATTGAACTTGAATCTTGTGTCAGACTGGTTACAGGAGGCCGGGACGGCTGTTTGAAGATATGGAATTACAATAATGGGCACTGTCTGCATACTCTGAAGAGGGGTAAGCAGTTTGGGAATACCTGGAGGAAAGATTGGAAAATATCATAGGAGCATAAATGAGGGTGGATTGGTTTCTTTTCTCCTGCAGAAGACAAGCATGATGAGATCTGTGACTGCACCTATGTGGAGATGAATAAGAGCAGGTAAGGTCTTCCACAGCACTGACAGAGCCGTGTCCCAGGGGCGGAGGCATTTGGTGGGAGTTTATGCAGCAAGTAACCCTGCTTTTCCGTGGGAAGGTTCTCCCCTGGGACATTCCTGAGGGATTAGTCAGGCCTGTGAGCCTCAGACAGAAACATGTATTGCAGCTTCTAGAAAAAAATAAAATAAAATCAGAACTGCAATATAGGCAAGCAGAGCTGGCCAGTCTTTTTCAAGCAGGCTCAGGTTATTGGTACTGCCTGTAAGAGAGGCTCAGTCTGCACATCCGCAGTGGACCAATGCCCAGGGAACCCCAGCAGCTCCAGAGAAGCTGCAGAAAAAGAAGTTTGCTGGGAAAGGGTCTGTCCAGGGGCTCCTCCCCACACCATCTGAACAGGCACGGAAGGTCCCTACCCCTCCTAGGATTCCCCAGGTGAGAACACATCCTGCCCTTTGCAAGGATAAGACTAGATGTTGTGAGCTGTTTTGGTCAGGGCAGAGTCCCTTAGCAAGGGCAGAGGTGGTCCTGAGCCAAGGAATTAACTGAAAACTATATTGCTGGGATTTTGTGTTTTTTTCAGCTGCCTTATCAACTGCCCATAYCTCTAAACATGTATTTAGACACGTGTATAAATCAGATGGTGCTCTAAATGATAGGCTCTCTGTGCCATTGCTCTGCTACCTCACAGACAACACACCCATGCTATTTCACAGAATCACAGAATGGCTGAGGTTGGAAGGGACCTCGAGAGACTGTCCAGTCCAACCCCCTTGCTCGAGCAGAGAATTTGTCCTATAGCATCACATGTAAGTCAGAACCTGTTGCATTAAGCATAGTGCCAAGCACGTCAGTGAGAAACACTGTAGTTTGCAACAGGAAGAGTAAGACCAGAGTGGCAGATTACAGGTAACTGCTTCATCATTTGGAGATCAGTGGGTAAATTTGCTCTTGTATGAATATTTGAACTAGCTGTTTTGAGATACTTCATATTTTTTTTAATTTTGGAAGAGACTGTTGATAAAGCAAATACATCCTGAGCCGTGTCCTGAATATTCTCCTAGGTATATTGTAGCTGTTGGATGGGACAGAAGAATAAACGTGTACTTTGTAAGTAGAAAGACTGCATATAAAAGAGATGATCTATTAGCATAAAAATACTGGTATAAAATTGGTATAAATTGGTATGGTATTGGTATAAAAGCAAAAAACATAAGTCAGTGTTTTGATCTTTGTAAAAACTGAACAGGAGCAGAAATCTTTTTACTAAACCCTTCTGTCTGAGCTTGAAACTGAAAATTTGTCCAAGTTAAACAAATCCAAAGGGATACACAAATCATTCCATGGGACAAGTGCTGATTTAACTGGGCCTCCCCCTCTCTAGACTATAATGGTGCTCAGCTCAGAAAGCAGGCTCAACTATGAGGCTTCCTTCAAGTCCTGTATGTGACAGGTAAACCGCCAGTCACTTGGTTTGCACCCACTTTGGGGGCTGGCAACTAGCAAGTTCTCTGAGTTCAGCTCAGCTAATCGTTGCAGAAGGTTGAGTGTGCCATTCTTTGCACAGTAAGTGCCACAAGCCTTTCTCATTCTCAGATTTCAATATTTTGGGCAATTTATAGGGAAGAAAATCTGTGTAAAGCTTTACTGGCCGATGATCAGACAATTATGCAGTTATCTACTGTCAGATGGACAAACCGTGGAGGCCTCTACCACGGTTAGGTTTAAAATGCAGAGAGGAAACATTACTTCTGTGATATGAAGGGCCTGTTCTTTCCTCATAAGAGGCAGGATTTCCTTCTGTGCCTTTGGGAATTGCCAGCTTCAGGAACCTCTTTACCTTCCGTGGAGTGGAATTGCCATTTTCTGGCAGCTCTTTTCAAAGGGTTGGAGTGATAGCACTGCTTTTCCCTCCCACTGAGCGGGTGGATGTGTGTCTGGGGAGAGCATATATGCATATTTCCTTCTGGCTGGGGATATAGTGTCTCCCTTTTGTGTCTTCTTTTGTACAGGACTCCACAGAGGAGCTTCATCGTGTTCAGAAACCTCAGCCCTTTTGGCAGGATGATATAGTAAGAACCCACCTCCAGTCTGTTTCAAATACATCTCTTAGRGAGACCAGTCAGTTATGGCACAGGGTAAGACAGCATGGCTCAACAAATAAATATGTGGTCAACATTTAATTTAGACAAGTGAGATTTTTGTAACCAACTTAATTTAACTTTAGCAGCTCAAGTGCCTTGGCCACTAGTTTACACCTTGTCTAGAAGACCAAGACAGAAGGAGTCTGAGTTCAGGAAAGAGGAGACTGATGAAGCTGAATGTTTTTGAACCAAGAWGGGAGGCAGAAAGCAGGTGCTCCCCCAGCCTTCCTGGCCGTGGAAAATATAAGAGTTTTTGGAGGGGGAGGTGGATAGGGAGGAGAGGATATTTCCATGTTTGTGTCTAGCACATTAGACCAAGAGCAGGGATCACTTCTAGGCTTTTGTGTGTGACCAGACCAAGCCAACAAGAGCCYGGGGAATAGAAGAGGGAGATGAACAATTTTTCCTTCATGGCATTTTTTTCCATTTGAATCCAGAACCAGGGTCATAAAGAAGATATCTTGTGTGTTGCTCATTGTCCACCAGCTCTGCTTGCCACGGCTAGTTATGATGGGGAAATTATAGTTTGGAACATGGACTCTGCCTGTGTCTGCTGCAGACTTCACACTCCACGTCCTCCTGACTGTGCTGAGGGAGAAGGCAAGTGCCACTTGGGGGCAAGGCAGTGACAGTGAATAAACCTCTGCTTTCCAAAATATTTGCAAAAGGGAAATTAGAAAAAAATAATTTAGATACATTAAAATGGTTGGGTTTGACTTTTATGAGGTTATTTATACCATATACATGTATTTTACAATTAGTAAATCCTATCATTTGATCTGTTTTTGAAGAAAAATTTGTTCCAAAACAGCCTCTTTGAGAAACACCCAGCATTTTCCTTTCTTTAGCTCCAAAGAAAACTGTAGCAAAAACCATGATTCTCCAGAGTAATTTCCATTTCAATAGGCTCGATCTTTCCACTGTAAAAGGTTTCCGTCTTTCTCTGATCAGTTCTACTGAAAGCCATCTGTGATGACACTCTACCAGTGGTGGCTTTGAGAAGCTTGAAGGGACAGCTCTAATAAATGCATATCAACCCATTACAACTGTGTTAAAAAAAGACAGTGATAAGGGGTTTAGTTATCCCATGTCAACATTTCAACAGGAGATAATCTTGCTGTATCCACATGATTTTATTGGTTTAGTTTTGTTCTTTACAGAAAAGTAATTCTAACCTCCATGGCATTTAAGCAGCCATGCAGTGAACACATGGATTTTGTTCTTCTCTTTCCTTTCTAAGTCGTAGACACAAGTGTTTCCCAAGTTGTATTTCTAAGGACTCGTATGGCTACACTTGAATCTGGAGCAGCAACTCTCATTTCCAATGGGCCACAAGGTAGGAGCTAGCACTGTGACGTGGTACATGTCCCAGCAATGTCACAGCTCAGTGGTGTCTGGAATGGTTTTTAAATGATATGTACTATATATTTTTTTTTTTTAAAAAGAGACTTTAATTATTTTTATTGGAAAATTGTAATTAGTTGTTTTGCAGATTGCAGTCATAAATGACACTTCTTTCTTCACTTTTAATCTGTAAGGATGTATTTTCAGATTGCTGATTTCCAGCATCCAAAGAGAGGTCACCATCCTAAAATATGTTCCTGTGGCTGCTGAACACTCCTCTCCTGTGTGTGCAGTAAAAACTGCAGGAGCTCTGGTCCTGGGATAATGTGCTGATCTATTTTGTGGGAGGATATTTTATTGATCCTTACATTATGTTAAAGTTTTAAGTTGCAAGCTAAAGTTGAAAGTTAAAAATAGTCATTTACTTGGGAGAACACCTGAACTGAATAAAAATGATGCCCTGTCACTGTTAGAGAGGCCAGTGTCTTACAGGTCAATAGTAAGAACCTTGCAGACACGAGGTGATTAGTGGGGAACAGCTTGATCATTGCTTCTGATTTTGATTTAATCACTTGTATGTTCCTGCTCCAATAGACTCCGTGGTTGCTGAGAAATATTTCTGCCTTTCTGATTTGCTTTCCTGCAGGTTCTGTCCACTTCTGGCGTTTGCTCAGCGGGACCCCACCTCCAGCCAGCTTCACACCTGTAAGTTTGACTGCTTGCTGTCCTTGCAGTCCCAGGTAAACTGTACATGAAGAGGGGAGAGGACAAGAACCATGTCCTTGATCAGCCATGACAAACATGCATCTCCTCTTTGGATTTGCTACATCACCTGTATGGTGGAATTTAAGTRCATTAAAATAGCCAGTACTATATTATCACAGGCAGCAAATGGCTGGTTAATCACACTTGAATCTTTGTTTCAGTCTAGAGTGAAGTCTCTCATCAGCAGCATTGTTGTCACTGCTGATGATTCGTTCCTGTACGTGGCCGATAGCGACGGTTACGTCTATGTCTACAGCATCCAGGATTACGCCCTTGGGAGCCCAGAGCARGAGCCACCACCATGTACGTGGCATGAATTGTTTTTTTGAATGGTCGTATGTATGTGTGTATGCAACAGAGCAAACATAGTAAGAGAAAATAAGGATTAAAATGAACTAAAATGAACTAAGTACTTCTTATGATTTGGGGCTATATATTAAAACAAAAAAAGAAACAAACAAAACAAAACTCCAAACAAATCAAAATATTCCCCTCCGCCACATTTTTAATCTGCTTTCATGTCTTGTATACTCTCATAAATCCTAACCTTGGTTAAGTGATGACTTGTTTTCAGCACAGCTAAATTTGCCCTTATTTTAAGCTATTTTAAGAAAAACAATTTAATGGTCTGTTGGCTAAATACTAACAAACCTACTTTGAATTCAGTAGGAGGTAAGGAATGAGCAAAACCTCTGTAATGTTGTTTGCCTATCAACCTGTGACACTTAAATCCATGCAGTGCAGTGGAAGCTAAACAGATGGGCATCTGTTTAACATGCTCTGGGTAAAAACTACTTTTTGTTGCATTAAAATAGTGTTCCTTATGCAGAAATATTTAGTTTTTATTTCATAGGCTTTGTGTTCAGCCTTGCAGAAATTGTTGTTGCCTCTCTGAAGTGACACGGTATTGTCTTGACACGTATTTCTGTATTACTGTGAAATATATGGAAATATATTACAGATTTATTCTTTATTTTGCTGTAGATATGCATCACTGGCGAGCTCACGTAAAAACGGTTGTATCGTAAGTATAATCTTATGAAGTGAATACATACAAGGTAGAGAGACCTACTAACAGTTGCTTCTTAGTGCAAACATACTCAGATTAATTATCATCACCGCTGGCACCACTGGAAACCTCCGCTCTCCCCTCTGCTCATACTCAGCCTCCACACGGAGGGTGCCTGTGGTGGGGACTTTCTCGGGTCCCGGGAAGGGCTGTCATGGTGCCCTTTGTACCTCAGCGTCCTGCAGGTACGTCCGGCAGTACCTGGAGCTCAAGGTCCTTGGCGCAGGCAGCTGGGCTGCACCACGAGCACTGCCACACGCACTGTCACTCCCCTTGTGGATCTCTCTTTGGAGGATCCCTCTCTCTGTAGAGCACMCCAGGAGCCATGAGCGTCCATTGCTTGAGGTCAACCTGCAAAGCTACCCATTTGAGTATGAAATCTGAGGCAGCAAAGCTCCACCACAGAAAGCACAAGTCAGCAACGCTGTCACACACTTCCCAACAGGTGCCTCTGCCCATTCCCTTCTCCCCTGCTTTATCTTTATAGACTAGAGGTGATAGATGAAGACCGAGTCCTGCTGTCCTCATCTACAGACTGCACCGTCCGCTTGTGGAGTCTGGATGGCGAATACATTGGTGGGTAGCCTTGGCAGCTCAGCACTCCCTCAGAAACACAGGATGGTTGAGGTTGGAAGGGACCTCTAGAGATCATCCAGTCCAACCCCCTGCTCCAGCAGGGACACCCGGAGCACGGGGCACAGGGTGGCAGCCAGGCGGGTTTGGAAGATCTCCAGAGAAGGAGACTCCACAGCCTCCCTGGGCAGCCTGTGCCAGGGCTCTGTCAGAAGGCCCAGTTGCCAAACAGTAGCTGCACATAAAAAAATACCCACAGAAAAGTGATGCAGACTTTTATCATTACCCTGTCATTGGCATTAAAAGTTACTGAGTGTCTAAGCAACAGATTCTTGGACTGCAGCAGTGGATTTAGGGCCTAGGCCTTGTACTTTTCAGTCTTGCATCTTATATTTTACATCACTAAGGGCTACACTTAAACGACCAAGACAGTTTTATTAATATCCACAAGGAATGCCAACAGGGCTTTCTGTTCTCATTCTGAAGGTGTTTCCTACTGTATTTACAAGTAAACTCTTTCAGCCAGAAGAACTTAAGGCCATTTTATGATATTCTAAAATCTGAATATGTGGATGCTGAGGATTTTTTATGCCTTAAAAAAAAAAAAAGATGGAAATTACAGTGTTTAGGTCTTATTTTTCTATTTGCATTTTTGGSTCCTTCAAGTCACTCTGCACTAGCTAACATCCACTGAATACTGGTTTTKGGGATTGATCAAGGTCCATGATATAAACAACATCTAACTTTGAAGATTCCATAAAACGTATTTCATAGAATCATAGAAT